ACACACACACACACACACACTTTTCCAAAGATAAAACCTCCTATTAGTTCTTCTGTGAGACTTCATAGTGAGGCCTCAAAAAGAGAATTCTTTGTTTATCACAAATTATCATCAATGGCTTTGGGATCGATGTGAGGATTCTGGGAAAGCAAAGGAATAGGAAGCTGAGTCATGAAGAGTCATAGTGGGAGAACTGGAAGCCACAGAGAGGCGTGATCAGTGTGAACCTTCCTCAGGGGCACTTTTCTCTGTGGAAAAGGGTGCCAGCTATTTGGTTTAAAGCTGCTAGATTTTCTGCTTTTCAAACATCATCCATTCCTCAAGCCCTCAGCAATGTGAGCTACACACAGATGTTCTGATTGACTGAGAGAAATGATGATGAAGAAGTAGGAGTTAATCCTGGTTGGTACAGAAAAAAAGAAGACTCATAGGCCATGACGTATGAATAAGGGTAGATGTGGAGGAGGAAACCACACTTCACAAATAATCCTAGGAAACAGAGACAGAATACATGCAGATAAATCATGGAGGGAGGCAGGTCAATGGCAACTCCATGAAAAAGATGAATTTGGTGATTGAGCCATTTTTATACCAATTTTCTGAGAAGAATAGTAACATTAACTGACATGTAAGAGGCAATGGTAAAAATATCAAAATATTGCAGGAGTCATATTTACCTTTACAAAGTGGATCAGCCGCTCAACTTCATTCACTTTATAGGTTTCCAACCCTAGCTCTTTGGCCAATCGTAAGATCCGATTCTGGGTCGGCCCAACGTAAGATCCACCAAGGTCCACATATTTAACATTTTTATTCTGTTTGTCCATGGGAAAAAATAAAGATGACCATTTGTAAAAGACACTTCAGAGACCATTTCTTATAAAACAAACACATCTCTGACTACACTCCAGCAAATCTAGGTACTTGTTAGTCAATTAGAACAGAAATACCTCTACTTGTCTGTGGTGATTTACATGCCTACTGTCTAGCCGTCCCCAATTGGAGTCATTCGGATTGATGTTCTCTTGTATGAACAAACAAAACTATTGTAGATACACATAATGAAATACTACCATTTAGCAGAACATAGATGTAGCTTCAGGACATTATGCTATGTGAAATAAATCAAACATAGAAAGGCAAGTCTTACACCATGTCACTTATATCTGGAATCTAAAACGAGTTAAATTCGTAAAAATAAAGACTATAACAGTGGTACTAGAGGTCTTACGGGTGTGGATGTTAGGACAGAAGAAATGGGGAAATGGATCAAAGCATACAAGTCAGCTAGATGGGAGGGGTAAATGTTGAGCTCTGATACATACTATGATGTCCCTGGTTGATAATAGTGCATTGTATATTTAAAAAAGAAACAGACTAAGAGTAGATTTCAAGTATGTTGACACAAAAATGTCAAGCGACCGAGATAACAATGAACTTGATTTAATCACCCACACTGTACATGTATCACACTGTGCTCCATAAGTTTACTACAACTATGAAGTAAAAAACTGAAACAGGGAGAATGATGAAAGAGTTGAAATAGAGATAAAAATGAAGCTTAGAGTAGAACTGTTGTGTGCTTAGGATGTACAAGTCCCAAGATGGAACACCCTTTGCACTCATAAACAATGATGGTGATGATGACGATGACGACTATGATGACCATGACCAAGAAAACCATGCTGCTGCTGCTGCTGCTGCTGTTGGTGGTGGTGGTGATGGTGATGATAGTGGTGATGGTGGTGGTGATGATGATGGTGATAACGGTGACTGTGAAGAAGAAGCAAGAGAGGAGCTATATGGGAAATCCTGGAGTTGTGTTCCCTATCTTAGAAGATCAGTAATAGAGACTTTCAGGAAATGCAAAAGTCTAAAAACACAACTCAGCTTCTGATCCATGTTTCTCATCCTCTTCCTTAGTATCTTACCCTAATTGTGTAAGTCCTGCCTCCCACACGGTCCCGTGCTTCCAGAACCACCACACTGAGGCCACAGTCATGCAGAAATTTGGCTGCTGCCATACCTGGGGGGACAATACAAGAAGACATTGTGATCAAATCTGTTACAGGATTACAGAATGCTCCTTATGCCAGCAGTCAACAAGAAAAGTCACATTCACACGAGGTCTATTCTAATATAACTAAGGAGTACATAAGAACTCTCTGCAGAGATCCGGAGTCTCCATCTAGGAAATCATGTAATTCTTCCAGGAAGAATAAAGTAAATTTCATTAGCAGTGGATACCTCATCTAAGAAAACATTCCATGTCACTATATCAATAATATCAATATCTTAACAACTAAATTATAGACCAGACAACCTAATGTAAATACAAGGCTACAAACAAGAACATCCATTTGCTGGAACCAAAAAGGTCCCATGCTAGCCCCACACACGATTTTCTGTCTAACTATGAGGAGAAGAAGCAATGTGGAAGAGAGCTAGCCTTCAACACCTGTAAGAGTACCTAGTATTTACTGAGAAAACTGGACTTTTGGAAGTTGCAAAAAAAATTTCAAAGCTAAGGTCATAAAAAACTGACCATTTGTACATTTCATTTCAGATATGCCTGACCACTGAAGAATGAAATGCTTCCATCCACGTATTTTAATTATTCATCTAGTCCAAATTATTTCTTGACTCCCTGTGTATAGTCACTTGCACTAACACACCCTAGACATGATCTAGTCCTTTGGCTCTTAAAGCCCAGCACTCTTTTTATGTGAGGTCACTTTTGAAAAGGAAGTTTCTTACTTCTATTGAAAATAGATTTTTTTCTCACATAATATATCTTGATTATGGTTTCCGCTTACTGTCTTCCTTCCAGTTCTTCCCTACCTATTCTCCCATCTGGACCCAGCCCCGTTCTGTCACTCATTAGAAAGCAAACAAGACCCTGCATCTTTAAACCACTCTTGGACTATGGCGATGATTCAGAGGATGCCATTTGCTTAGTATATGGGATACCCAGGGTTTCTATCCATAGCATTGCCAAATATAAAAATATGAAATAAAACCACTCACAGAATTTAGTAAGAACTGCCTTCAAGAACAGATGGCAAATTGGTATTTTTGACTTGAAGAGAATATTTACTCGTATGGTAAATTGAATTTACTTGCTTGCTACATGGGACCAAATAAAATCAAAGAAATGTCAAAATGCTACTGTGCCCCATTGGTACACAAAATGGCTCCTTTATTGTTTTCCAAAAATAACGACTATGTGATGTTCGGTCCCCTACTGCAACACACCTGATGGTCACTCCATTTAAAGTACAATTGTATTTCCTTGTATTCATTAATGCTAACAGTGTAGTTTAGTAGTAGAGTACTTTCCTGGCTCATGTGAAACCATAAGTTCCATCCAAAAAGCATGAAAAGGGAAAAAAAGGAGAATTTATACTACATTGATTCACTAAGCTCATTCCAACAACCTAGTGAGCTAAGGTTCTAGCTTTGTTTTATGCCTGAGGAAACCAAAGCACAAAAAGGCCACAGTGAGAAAAAATAAAAAAGCAAGCTCTACCCCAGTATCAGTGTTTGACTCACAGCTGCCCTCATCTCTGACGACATCTCTCATTGTGTGCTAAAAGATATTGTTCAATGTAGTGGTATGAACATGCTTTGAAGACATACCTGAAACTTATAGGTTAGCAAAAACTCATTGAACATAAACCATGGATCTGAATCTAGAAGCATAATGACTCAAGGTTTCAGTCTCCATCTGGCAACAAACCCCTTTCCCAGAGTCTGACTTAACATGTCATTGTTTGGCTCTGTGTATCCCTTCATTCCTGTCCCCAGAGGCAGAGTCAAGGTTTCCAGTTGGTGGCAGAGTAAGGTTCCAAAGTCCTCACTGCAAGCAGTCACACCTATAGCACAGAAGCATCCCATGATCCAGTTATAGGAACACAAGGTTTGCTTGGAGCTTTAACTTCAGTTTCCCAGCTTTACCCCCACAACAGAAAAAAAAAACCTATATTCTACTTAAATTTAGAATCGCAGACAATTTGATGACCCTTTTCTTATCAAGCATCAGTCCAACAAATGAAACAACATGCAACCATAGTAACAGCAGTTATCAGCAAGTTCACATAAACCTCGGGAGTACGCTGGGGCTTAAACAAAAGAATTGAGAAGGAAATACAGCATTACTCATGGACACTCACATATGAGATTCCACAAAGAGTACTATGTTTTTAATGAATACAGCTACCCAATAGTATCTGATGAGAAGCCTAAACAGTCCTTTCTGCATGTATTGCATTATAATTATAAATAGAAAATGACCACAAAAAATGTTCTTAAGCAACATATAAGTATGTTTTTGGAAATCCCTTGCAATTTTTTAAACATGTTCAGGGTGCTTGGGGGACAGTCAAAATGTCTTTTTGACATCAACTGACAAAAAAAGAGAAAATTAAAAGTACAAAAACTGATCTAGCTGGCACAAATGTGGATGGCTTAGGGCAGCACTGAATTTTTGGAGGAGAGAATTGGAAAATTTAAGCAATTAGAGTCCAGTCAGGATGTGATTAAGATGGTGAAGAAGAGGTAACTGTTGATGGATCCCACAGTGATGTTATGATAAAGGCACAGGGCTTGGGTACTCAAAGAGTAAGCAAAAGGTAACTCTCTAGAGCTTCCTGCCTCCAAAATGCATTGTTTCTCATGTGTTCCTTTCCATGTTGGGTTTGGAACCTTTAATATATTTTGGCATGGAAACAAAATATGAGATACTGTAACTCTCTAAGAGGGCTGGGAATGTCTATGTTCAGTAAATCCTACTGTAAATGTTTTCATGACTAATAACCAACAGTATTGGCTCTAAAACCACTAGACAGTATAATTGGCTCTGACAAAACCTGAAGCAGCTTGTAAACACACTGTGATAATATTTTTAAGGGATCTACATTACCAGTTACTACTATAAACTAGAGAGCACTTACTTAGTTTCGTGTACAATGTTCCCCCACAATGTCCACTTGGTCCTCACAACAAGGCTGAGAAATAGTTTTATCCTAATTTTCAGTAGTCAGATAGGTTTTACAATTAGTAATGGTAGAACTAGAGGTGAACCCAAAACATGACCTCTTAGCCAACATTCTTGGTCAGAAGAGAAAAAAGTGAAAAACATTTTAAAATATTGATATACCAAATTCTTGCAAGCTATCTTAAAACATTCTGCTGTACATCTAAAAATTAAGAATCATCAAAAATTGTTTTACTTTTAACAGATATTTGATTTTTTGAAAAGGATTCAAAAGCAAGTTTATCATCACTATGTGCTCTTCCAAAGTTAATGAGACTTGACTTTAATAAGCAGGGTCAATTAATATTTCAAAACAATACTTACTTGGTTCTTTCAGAAAGGACTTTAAGGTACAAATAATAGAAATCTACATCCAATGCTATGACTTTACAGAAAGATTGTGTTTTGTCAGTCCTGGTGAGGCAGGCATTTAAATCTCAGCATTCTGAAAGCTGAGGCAAAGTTTCACAAATTCAAAGCCAGCCTGTGCTACATAGAGAGACCCGGTCTCCAAAACTTAAAAGCAAACAAACAAAATTACTGCATTTCCATGGCCAAGTAGCTTACATGGAAAAGGTTTCTGCATACCAATGATCATAGATGAGATTATCGGAAAGACCTACAAATCAGTGGTATGCAGCGTCATGAGCATTTGTGCCTCCAGTTTGAGGCTGTAGAAAATGGCTTGAGTTAGATTCTGAGGGAGACTTCAAAACAGTGTGGGACTCTCAAAATCAAAAGCCCCATCAACCTTGTTCTTTGTTCTCCCAATGTGTTTCATGGCCTTTAGATTAAATGGTGATATTTAATAAACCTTTATACTTTAAAATAGAGAAGTAATTGTCCTGGAAGCAACAGAAAGCATCTACACTACATAAAGACCTTTTTCCAGTCTAAATTTGCCAGAAGAGAGAGCGTGAGAGAATCTTGATGAACGAAATTGACAATGAAATTCACAATACCTAGAAGTAAGTACCTGTAACCTTGTAAACGTGGCAAATGATAGGCATCCCCTTAGTACATACAAATGCAAACAGCCCCTCATCACCTCTGTCACTACTGACAAAACAATGTTGTTGGGTTTTTTTTGAGGGAATTCTAGAAAAAAAAAACAAGCAAACTTCTGATCAAAGAACTGGATTCCTGTGATGCCGCCGTTAAAGAGAATGTTTCTTTAGTTATTTAGCACAAATATACCCACCTCCAAAAAGGTCTGGAGTAACAACATCAACAACAAAAATTTCTTTATTAGAAGTCAAATTCATGAAGGCATGTAGTAGGAAGACGTCTGACGTTAAAGGCACTATGCAGATGGAGCCATGACTGAAGCAGCTATCCTTTGAAGAGATGACTGAACTGAAAGCCAGCTTCCCCATTCAAGAAAGGCAGATGGAAAAGAACATAAAGAGCACAGCCTCTGAGGAGTGCACCTGAGATTTTGCAATTAGCATAGTAAAGACACCCTTCAAATCCCAGCATACTGACTCTAAGTACCAATCATGCATGAGAATTGAAGCCTAAAGGGGCTCCACTATTTATCAATGAAACACAGTGACATCTCCCTTTAACACCACCCATCAACTAAGTAGCAAAGAAGCTAGTTCCTTGCTTTTGTGTACATTACCAAAAAATACATGTTTTCCTGGCTGGTAAAGTTCTAAAAGGTTTTCTTTTATGAAGCGAATGATGACCACAGAGATGACTATGGTTTGATTGACAGGGTGGGGGTTGGGTGGCATCCCCCTTTCCCTTTGTCTCCAGGGTACCCATGGAGCTCAGAAAGCTCATTTCCTGAATGATAAGATGTTAATTATCTATGCTTTTCCTCTTCCTGTGACAGGATACAGTTGGTGTTTAAGTGTGTTTGTTGATGGTTGTATTTGATATCCTTAAACAAAGATAACTCCTAATAGAAATGACTTTTTGATTTAAAAAAAAGTAAATGGGTATAATAGTGTCCTTTTGGTATGCTTATAGTAGTAAGCATTTTA